TTTTTAGCATAAAAATAACTTATATTATGAAATAAGATTATTTTTAACTATTTATTACTTCTTTAAAATATTAAAATTTAATATTTTATATAAATTAAAATAATTTTCTGGGACAAAAATATTTTTAGAGACCATTCTTCAACAGGTGTGTTTTTACCAAAATTTTCTTCAACAAAATTACTTTTTTAGAAATTTTTCTTAATCTCTTATTTATTTTTATAAGTGATTTTGTTATTTCAATATATTAAATTTCAAATGAGATGTCAACCAGACATAAATTCAAGAAACAGTATTTGAAAGGAATAAAAAGATAAACTCAAAAGTCTTTTGAAAAAAAAAATATATACACTAAAGATAAGAATAATTTCTAAAAATTATTATTGTTCAACGATGAAAAAATAAATTTTTATAATAGTATAAAATTAGATATAATATTTAAATATTATAAAAAAATTTATTATCAAATTATATATCTTAAAATTTCTGAATTATCAAAAATTTTCAGACACAGACAATTATTAAAATATTCTCTCTTTTTTCTTATGATAATCTTTTGATTATCTAACACGAACAAGATTATTTCATATAGATAAGTGTAATATCATAAAATCAAAATAAAATAACATAATTTAACAATAAAATGTAACATATGCAAATATATATACATACCAAGTTTGACATACATGTGTCATTCTCTATAATCTCATTTCTATAAAAGGAGATATCATATACTTTATGAAAGAGAGACCCCTTCCCGGAAGGATGAGACATGGGTCCGAACCTTATCTTAAACCCACACTGTTCACATCAAGATCCAATAATTTTCAAGGATGCATAAGTGACAAATTGGCCATTAAATATTAACAAAACCTTTTCATCTCAAAGTGAAGAAGAGACAAAGCATAAACCTCAGCATTGAATATCTCACTTCTTAATTCCAATCCTTATGTTTGTCCACAAGTTTAGAGTCACCTCTGTCTGAACTAGAACCAAAACCATGGAAGAAGGGTCACATGCCATTTATTTGGGGTACACTAAATACAAAATGTAGCAACTTGCCTTATATGTCCTAGGTTGGAGCTTCACAGTTTGAGGAATGGCACATGTTTAGTTAACATACAAGGCTTAGGAGGTCAACCACATCACCCAATTCACATGTACAGTTGATGTTTCTATTGGGTTGTTTCAATATTTAATTATGTAAAACAAGTTTTAATTAATTGGTGGAAGAAAACGTGATTGTTTATAATTGGTTTTGAATTAAAATAAATTATAATTATGGTAAACTTTAACGATTTATTTTATTTACTCAACACACTTATTATATATCACAGTCTATTTACTAACCCATTCTTATGTCTTTGGATATTTTAGCCTTCTTTTATTTCTAAAACAATTTCTGTTTTAAAATTTCAAAGTTTAATTATTTTATTTCAAATATACTCTCGCTTAAAATTTGATTAATAGTGGTGCAAACTTCAAGGATAATTAAGGTATTAAATAACATTTTTATTTCAAATATAATATTTTATTTTCATTAAATATTTTCCTTGTCTTTAAATATATGACTTTTATCTAATTCATAATTACTTAAAAAATTATTAATTTAATTTTAAATATATCAACAATTCGTTAGTTTGAGCGGTATTAGATTCAATCTTTTTAAACAATGTATTGAGTTTGAGTTTTATAAATAAATAAAAAAATTATGGAAAAGAGAATACTAATAAAGATAATCATTCAGATTCTTTGATAGAAATTAATATGAAACTGGTGTTATTTCGTACCAAGAATATAATTATAAAATATAGTTTGTCATATTAAATTTGTTATTAATTTGTATTTTTAAAAAAAAAATACCCTTCCGCTTGATTACCTTTGATCCAATTAATTAATGTTAGTTATCTTTTTCATACCTTATAAGAGATAATGAATTTATCTCATTAATTTTAACATTTATTTTAAAATAATTAAGAGTATTTTAGTAAAATAAAATACTCCCTCCAACCTTTTTTATAAGAAATAAATAGGTAAATTTTTCTAATTATAAGAATCAAATACCTATTTTAAGATATATTAATTATTGAATGTATTTATTGATTTATTAATTACATTCGCTGATGGAAAAAGATATCTCTTAAATTAGATGAAGTCTTATAACATGCAACAATTAAATTTTAAAGAAGAGGTTACATGCAGACACGAAGGTAGTATTCATATATAATATATTAGTTGTAAACATATATAGAAAGGAGGTAATATTAGATGAACAATGGAATAAAATTCATTCATATTGTGGGTGCATATATGCTATTTATTCAAAATATAATTGAATCCAAATCACATTTATTGAGCACTTATGGAATCTAATCTTGGGTTGCATTAAACTAATACAAATAATTTCCGCACTTTGTCCAAGCGTATATCACGTAATTAAATGAACATGCAACTAGGATTCTTACATTTTTCAATTTGCCTATGAGAAATTGAATCATGTAATAGGTTTAGTAGGTTATTACCCATTTTAATGGCACTATTTTTTAGACATTCAATTAATGTAACACCGACACAGAACCTGCAAGCATCTGCATTCTAGTGGAAATGTTGTAGGGGTAGTATTTATTAAATCTGGCTTATTAGTACTATCTCACAAGTCTTGTGTAGTATTTATTTCTGATTCTTGCACTTAATGTTGCATAGTGTAGATGTAAAAATATACATAACCATTTAGAAAATCCAATTACAAATGTATGAATGAAAGAGGTTCATATAATAAACACGAAGATGCACAATTTTTTTTTTTTCACAAGTATCCTAGCTCATTAGAATAGAGACTAATCTCACTCACAAATATCTTAATCTCAATCTAGTAGGACAAAGATTAATCTCACTCACGATTATCTCAGTCTACTAGATCAAAGACTAATCTCGCTAGCGGTCATGTAAAGAAAAAGCACAATTGACTTTGGAGAAAGAATCAAAATTCTTCAAAAGATGAATGCCAAAGGAAAGAACCTCAATAGAAAGGCCAAAATAGGGGGATCTACAAAACTACACATGTTAAGGCTTTTTTGACTTTGATTCTTTTGGTTCAAGGTTTGCAAATCACCACAAAGCAAGGAAGAAGAGCTCTAGGATTGAGCAAATACAGCTCCTCAATGTTTGAATATAGACCCACTTTGCCAGCCAATGAGTCGAATCCTGTTTGTGCTGCCATTTCCTGAATGTTCTCAAGTGGCCTATGAACCCTGCCAGCAATTACTCTGCATACTATAAGTGCTTTTCTCTGTGATGGTTCATCACCAATGATCTCTATGGACTCAAAAGCCCTTCCACTTGTGGATGTTGTGAAAACTCCAATGCCACCCTTGAGCTCCTTCTTGGCTGAAAAACCATTCCTTATGATTCTGCAAACACAACACTTTTCTGATAGGCAGAGGCTAGAAGAGCCATTAAGGCCAAGAGAGCATGCCACGGTGGTGCCATAGAACCTCAGAAGCTCATTCCCATCAGCCAGACACCTTGGATGCTTCTTCTGGAGTTTGCTGGCTTTGATCTTCACCATCTCCCTGTACTCTTCAAACCTTGCAAGAGTTTTTTGCATGTTGTGAACCTTCAAAACTCTCTCAATTCTACCACACTGGTTTTCAGACTTTAACCAGCTGGTCCTGCATATGATCTCCACGATTTTCCTTGATGAATCTCCTTCCACAAGCTCAGTCACTGCCAAGGGAAAACATATTGCTCTCAAACTTGAAATATGTGAATATGAGGCTTAAAATATGTCCCAAAAAAAAATTAAATAGTAACAAACTTGGAGGCCATTAAACCTTTCAATCAATTCTGAGTTAGGTGGGTTGAAGAGAGAGAGAGAGAGAGAGAGACTGTATGTCCTAGATATTTTGATTTTTGAAGGTAAAGCTGATGGGGGATCCTAAGCATGGTTCTAAGTTGAAAAGGTAATGGAAAAAGGAAAATCAGTTTGGTTGTCCCAAACTGAAAAAAGTATGTTGATTTATAATATTCCTCACCTCAACATAAAAATTTATGTCTATATGATATAGATGTGGCCAGAAAGTTTGTGGTCAGAAGAATATTTTGATAACCAACTTTGAGGGTCACATAACAAATGGAAGAAACAAACAGCCAACACTACAGTGAAGGTTACAAGCATCATAGGTAGGACAAGGAGTGTATGATGTGGAATTTCCACTTGCTCATAGAAGCCAGCCATGAAACCAGAAAAAGGTTTAAATAGATATATGAGAAAGAAAAAGATTTTTAAAAAAATGTTACCAGCATGCTTGGACAGATGATGAGCTTCAGCAGCATCCCATTTGTTAAATTGTTCTCCACATTTGTGGCAAGTCACAGTTGAAGACCCATTAGAATCTGTCTCAAGAGACAATCTATTGCTAGGATGAAGTCCTCCACCATGAGGACCAGACCCTTCTTTATCTGCTAAGAGGAAAGGTGATTTCCTTGGAGGAGTGGATGAAGTCCTAAAAGAAGGATTAAAGTAGTGCATTGTAGGGTGCCCTCCAGGGCCTGGAGTCCCTGGCCTCAAAGTCCCCACAAAAGTTGAACCACCACTGCCACCGCCACCACCACCATTGGCACTGCCAACCCCTTCTTGGAACCCTCCATAGCCAGTGATCTTGAGCTCACACCTTGAGTTGCTCAATATCACCTCATGAGTTATGGGGTTGAGGAACTCACTGCTCCCTATGGATCTTGGACTGCAACTTGGTGGCTTATCAAGATGCCTCTTGCTTCCATGAATCACATCTTTGAGATTTGCTATGGACCTAGAACACCCTGACCTCCCTGCTCTCTTGGTCAAAATTGTGCTCAAGTGTTTCCTTGTTTTGGGGTCATGAACATCAGAAGGCTCAGATTTGCAGTGTAAAGACTTCTTCAGAGAGAACCACACTGTTGGCATGTTATCCTTTATGTTTCCCTTTGTCTTCTTTTTCTCTTCTTTCTCCATACACTTCAACTAGCACCACTCCTAACTTTCTGTGCTCTTGAACTTAACCCTCTTACAATGCTCTCCAAAGGATCCATGTCTCCCTTTTCCCAAATGAAAGCTGAAAAAACTCAAAAAGACAACAACTTCAGCTGCTTTCTGCTTAAAGCAAACAACCCCTTTTTGCTTCTTGATACTCCCTTCCACTTTCAACTACTCAACTATGCATCAAAGGCAACCTAACATCAAAACATGTTTCACAAGAGAGATCAAAGGGAACAAAATTCAAAACACCACACCAAACTATTACCAAACAGCTTGAAGACACTCAAGTACCAGTGTTACCATGAAGAGCACTAGGAGGGGCAGTTCTGATTCATCACACAGAATGAGTTTGGCAAGTTGCATAGGATAGTGTCCGTGACCCCATCAGAGAGCAAGTGAGACAAAAGGGACTCAAATCCATAGGATGATAAAACATGAATGAGAGCATTTGTTAGAACACGGGTGTTTGAAAAAAACACAAGAATCTTTGGCTCTTAGATATGGGATTTCGGAACATGACAACTAACTGAGACAAACTAGGTACTGTTGTGTCATTAAATGCGAGTTAATTACTCAAGCTGTACCTTTTTTTTACATTGCATTACAGAAAAAAATAATATATATATATATATATATATATATATATATATATATATACATTTAAATAAGAGTATAATATATGATATTCAAACAAG